CTTCTTCTTTTTGTTTTTTGAGACAGAGTATCGCTCTGTCGGCCAGGCTGGAGTACAATGGCACAATCTTGGCTCACTGCAACCTCCGCCTCCTGGGTTCAAGCGATTCTCCTGCCTCAGCCTCCCAAGTAGATGGGATTACAGGCACCAACGCCCACACCTGGCTAATTTTTGTATTTTTTTAGTAGAGATGGGGTTTCACCATATTAGCCAGGCTGGTTTTGAACTCCTAACCTCAGGTAATCCGCCTGCCTCAGCCTCCCAAAGTGTGGGGATTACAGGGGTCAGCCACCGTGCCCAGTCGAAAAACTTTTTTTATACAAAAATACGCCAAAGCTATAAAATATTTAAGAATGTATTTCACATTAGAGATATAGGATCTGTATAGAAAAATATAAAATTTTATGAAATGAAAACGTATACTTTTTGAATGAGAAATTGTGATATCTTAATGCTCATTTTAACAAAACATACATAAAATTTTGCATATGATTCCAATAAGAATTTCATTTTTTCAGTGGTGAAGGAAAAAGACAAAGATTTCTATAAAAGGTTCTTAAAATTCCAGTGGGATAATAACAAAGAGTAAATAAAACTGTGATATAAGAAATTACTGTGGAAATATTTGTGCTTTTGATGTATTAAAATAACACAAAGTTTTAAAATGTTATTTGTAATATAATAATGTCATTTATGCACTTGAATATAAGTGCATAAATGGATCGCTGAAAATAAAATAAAATCCAGAATATGGTAATCTAATTTATTTCAGATAAAATTTTAATTAAACTGAAAACTGATTGTCTGTTTAATACATTATACACTTAACACATTGAAAAGGTGTTTCAAAAAATACCTTTTAAAAATTAAATCCCAGAAAAATTAAAAACCGTTATGAAAATCAAAAAAATAAAGCTCTGTAAGTATAATCTAAGTATGGTAACAACATTGTAAAAACGACCTGAAACCTGAATGCTTAAAAAACAAACAAAATAAGTAATATGTCAAAAAAATATGAAATATGTAAACTGATACACCAAAATTGGAAAAAAATTAAATGGCTATGTCAGCCAAAATGATGAATTTCCATAAATGATAAAAAAGAGACAAAAAATATAGTCAAAGAATAAATTAGGCAATCATAGAAGAGAAAGCTCTAATTGTCAATGATTGTATTTAAAAATCACTCAACTTTTGAAGGTTTGCACATCTCTCATCAGATTTATTCCCAAGTACTTCATATTTTTGATGGTATTTTAAATTTCTTGGGCATTTAAAATAATTCAAAAATGAGACTTTTTGTCGAAAAAGTCTTTAAATTTGTAAATCCATATAGATATTAATTTTAAGACTTCAAGATTATTGTGACAGGAAATTTTACATGGTTGGTTTATTACAGATGATTTACTGAGGAATAAAATCCTTAATGTGTAGGTAACACAGGCAAAATTATTCAGCAAAAACATACATCTTTTTTGTCATACCCACAAAGAGTTACTGGCTTAGTCTTTCTTTTCCAGTAGATTAAGGAATTCTCCACCAGACCTACTGAGATACGTAGTATCTCAGTATCCTAGATCTATCTATCCAGATACGTAGGCTCCTGGAGACCTAGTAGGTATCCAGTGGACATGCTGAAATAACATCCTGGAAACACAAGAAAGTTCACTTTTCTCTCCATTCCAAAATATCTTCCATAAAAGCCTATTGGCAGAAACCCCCCAACTTCATTGAGACTCAGTTTTTCATTTGCAAAAAGGGAGTGGTAACAACCTGATATGTCTTTTGTAAGGCGTAAGTGGGTGATATAATGTCTGAGTCGTATGGCACTCTAGACGGTAAAATACGGAAAAAGTACTTTTCTGCTAGATGTTAGTGAATCTTCTTTTAATAAGACATCCATGAGAAGGAGAAAACCTCCAAAGTTCATGATGGTTTGGCTACCTACTCAGAGAAACTTGGACACAATCAGTATGAGGAATTAATGAGAACAGGAAAGTCTTAGTGTGCTTATATCACGTAACATCTACATGTCAGCAAATCTATTGACAGGCCTTTTTCAGCATAAACTTTGTCAGTCTCTTAATCTTGGCTCTTCTACATCAATTTAATAGGGTTGTCTTAAAAACAAACAAATGACAACAACGAAAAAGCCACAACAGATGGTTTATGAAACTGCAGAAGGTTGGAGCAGAAAGAGAGCCATAGAAATAATCTGATCACATTCATCCATTATAAATGTCATCTATAGCTTCCTTGTCAGGATTATCAAGGATCTCTGTTGATTACTTCCAGTGATAAGAAGTCACTTATGAGAGAGGTCATTTCATTTTAATTATCAGTTAAATAATCATTCCACTGAAATCTCCCTCTCTTAATTTTCCACCCAATGGAGCTACCTAGAAAGCATCAAATTTTACTTTCTCTTGATAGTTCCCTTATACGTGAAAACAGAATTAGGGTCCCCATTCAGTTTTCTTTCTTCAGTTAAATGTCTCCTTTTCTTTCAGTGTTATCTCCTCATTTCAAGTAGTTTTCTGGTTTTATAATACTTAGCATACTAGTTTCTCTCCTCTGGATAAATTCCACATTGTCAATTTTACTTCTAAACTTTTATGCTCAGAACTGAGTAGGATATAGCTGCTGTACTTGATGGAGCAAAGTCATGCAGAAAGTAGCAGTTTTTCTCCAGTGGTTATGCCCAACTGTTTTCATATGCTGCTTTGTCACACAGTCACGCCTGGGGCAGGTCAAGATCCTTCAGATCAAGACCTGGGCTCTTCTAGGAAGTAAAATACAAAGGTTTTATTGCAGAGGACACCTCTGACAGAAGTCTCTCTTTCTTTCCCTCCTTTGCATTTTAAGTTGCACTTTGTAGACAACTAAGTCAAAGCACTATTCAGCCCCTGAAAAATAGAAGCAAGCCCTCTAAATAATAGAATGCGTTAAATAAGAATTCCAAACATTGTATACATAAGACACTTGAAAGAGTTTTCCTGAAAGTAGCCTGACCTGTTAAAAACCTTGGTTCTAGCCATAATGTTGATGATATGTTTGAACTCCTGAGTCATACGATCTCTCATGTAGGTTAGGCTGTTAATACAATACCTTATGGCATCTAACAATGACAAAAATCATGTTACATTTGAGTCAAGCTTAACCATACCATGGGCAGGTAAGTTTTTATTTAAAAAAAAAAAAATTCCTACTTGAGTGCCCATCAGTTCCTGTATGCCTGGGTTATATTTGTCTCTCTATGTTTTTCAATATAGGTCCCAAGAGAAAATTGATCTTATTTCCAGTTCCTAATGAAAATATGAGATTTTAAAAAACTACAATGAAAGGTTTCAATTTATAGAGGGTGTATTCTCTTCCTCAAGCTGGAACATCTGCAATACCTTCCCTCAAGTGAAATGTTCAGCTTATTTAGAGGATATTAGGATGGTTTGCTATTTCCTGTGCCTCACGACTGCATACATATTTGCCATCTGATATTTAATAAAACCATTCAAGGACCATGACATTTCATTGGATGGCACAGTAAGGAGAGAAGTCTGATGAGAGCACACATGTAAGGCAGGAATTGGAGGAAGGTACAAGGAAAGTATCTTTGCTTTTGCATTTGGGAGATTCAAAAAAGCAGGTTTTTTGTTTGTTTGTTTCTTAGAAAACAACAAAGTTGTCTCTCCCCCCCTACTACACAGAACCACTTTCAGAGAAGACTTTCGAAAGCTTCGACAACAACAAAAAACTAAACTAAAGCTAAACAAAATCTTCCCGGCTACTAAAACAGGGTTTGCTTCATCTTCAAGATGTTCTTTCACAGCCATGTCCTAGTTATGACAGTGTGGAAAGTCGGAATGACAACCACCAAACCAAACTGGTCTCTGTCTTCACCCTCTCACAGAAAAAAAAAAAAAAAAAAAAAAAAAGCCCCATCTTGGAATGTGCTCTGAAGATTTTCTCATCTCACTGAAGCTAGGAAAGAATTCACCCCAGAGGCTAGAGCAACATGCTTGGCTAAGCTTCCCACAAAACCAAGGGCCGCTTGCCTGAAAGGTTTTCCTTTCATTGGAATCGCTTACGGATATGTCATCACTGACTCATATCTCATAAACACGATTTACAAAAAAAGCTTGTCAGCTGGGTTTTATTAAATTGTAAATTAAAAAAAAAAAAAAACCTGCATCCAGAATATCCAACAAGCTCAACACCCACAGATTCACTGGCTCATCTTCCAGCATCATGTGGTGGTTGATAAGTCTGAAGAACACACACACCTCATCAGCTCCCATCAAATTCTCTCTGCACCCACGGGAAAGCTCCACATTCACAGAATTCCTCCCACACAGGCCTGCACCCCATCAGCACAAGCAAAGATGAGGATTTACTCTGTGAGTCCAAAGAAAATAAATTGCTCCATTTATACATGACACATGAAAGAAAAAGTCATGCTTATGTCAAGCTAGAAATACACTTTTTAAAAGACAAAATTGTTACTTAAAAAAGGAAAAGTGCTTTGGCTCAGGAATGCCTGGTGAGTGCAATAATTCAATTAAAATTCATTGTTCTGACTCTGGCAAGTATTCATTTGTTCACCAATATTTTAGAGAAGTCTATTCTCATTGGTTCTTTGAGTTCGTGGAAAGCTTCATGTCATGTTATTGGATTGTCTTGTATTTTAAATGATTACTAGATAGGCATCCTGGGAAGATGGAAAGACATTAAAAACCCTAAATCCTAGGCACCTCTTCTATCTACTTTACAAAATAGTGTCTACGAAATAATTCAACAGAAGCAAAGGGTATGGAATCCTTAGTAAAACCTGAAATAAGTGAAGAAAATTATGCCTTTCAGAATCTGGAAGGCATTTATATGCCTTTCCACATCAGTAGGCTGGATTTAAACTGCATGATACGAGATCTAGGATTTATAATGAGACCAGTTTAAGTTACTGTGTTGATGATGTATTTTATTAGAGTAGCACTACTGGGGACAAACATCTTCTAAAAATGGATAAAGGAAGCAACATGACAAGTTTGTTTTCAGCTCACATAAGCCTTAAGAATTGTTTTCTTCATTAGTGCATGACTTTCCTTGCAGTTCTGATTCTGGGACCCAGTCTTCTGTCATACTGTGGCTCTGGTAACTTCAATATATGTTTTCCAAAACAAATTATCCAAGGCATCTGGGTGAATCTGAAACTAAAGGCAAGAGCATAGGAAATGACATGTAATCAATTATCATGGACCACCATGGAAATAGCACTTACCACTTCTACACACATCTCATTGGCCGAGACTCGGTCATGTAACCTCACCTGACTTTAGGGAACACTGGAAATGTCTCCTAGTTGTATGCTCAGGAGAAAAAGAGGATGGGTTTGGTAAACAGCAGGCCAGTTTTTGCTACTTAAGGAAAAGAAGAAATTCCCATTCTACCCTCTTTCCTCTTCCAGTGAGAAGGCATGACAAGGACCACAGCTCATCCGCATTCAGTGTGCAGCAGACATTTAGGAGAGACTTTCATCAGTGATTCCAGAGACTGTTTTATTTCAGTTCCTCTCCAGAGAGTTCTCTTAACAGGGAGTAAGTATCAAAAATGGAGCTTCTGATAATTGTACCATGGGCCTGGGCCTTGGCATTCTGAATAATAATTACTAAGGCATTCTGCTCAACTGGATTTTTAAGATCAATTGTATCTGAGTTGCCACCTCATGGAATGTCTTTCGATGATTTTTTTCACTGTCAAATCTATGTGTGTTTGATCATGTAGACGTCCATTCTTTTGTTTTTCCATTCCTTTCAAAAAGTAAATTGAGACAGCTTACGAAATAAAATTCAACAAGTAAATGATAGACCCCTGGACCTTGAAAATGGAATATTATGGTAGTAAAATTAAATGAAGATGGGGGTGAGAGTATTACATTTAATGTATACATGCATGTCTTTAAAAGAGAGGGATGAAGTTGAGGGTTGTAAATAAGCTCATTTAATAGTGGCCAAAGCAAAGAATGCGACCTCAAACATAGGGCCTGTAATTCTCTTTCATGCTGCCCTGATGTGCTCTTTCCTGCCAGGGACTCCTACATTTCCCTAAATCTGTTAACAGCAAGAACAGAGTAGAGGGGAAAATTCTTGAAAAGAATACTTAATATGAGTGATGAAATCAAGTGCTAAATTTAAAAAGAAAGGAACGGGATGGGCAATTATTATAACAAAAAGAGAAAAGGAAAAGTGAAAAACAGAGAAAGAAAACTGGCAATCTAACTCATTTTTGACTAGAAACAGGACACAAGAAGCAAACTGGTGGTGGTGTGTTGGAGGGGGGAGGTGGTGGTGTTTAAGCAAGGATGTCAGACTCCCCAGATTAAACTAGTGAAGAACAGGAAGGGAGAAGGAGAGGGAGAAGAGGCAAAATGCACAAAACTCCATAAAAGGGAGCTGAGTGTCCGTGTGTTTGAATAGATGGATATAAATAGAACATCACAGTATTCGGAATGTTTGTGGAACTCCTTATGATAACAATGAGCATCCTATTAAAAATAGGATGCTTACCTTCCAAATTCTATCAAAACGTAACAGGAAATAAATATTAACCAAAGTACCAAAAAGCATAGTAAAAATGGAATGAGTTATTGTATATATCTGCAATGAATGTCTTAGCACAAAATGGGAGTTCAACTAAAAAAAACAGAAATGGTTCAAAAATTTATGGTGTGTTTTCTGAATAAAATACTACATAGCTATTAAAGAGAACATCGTGGAAACACCATAGCAACAAGTCTAATTGTTTATTATTTAGTAGCAATAAAAAAGGAAGGGTCAAGAGGATATGTATGCTGTCATTACAACTGTGTAAAACAACTGTGGACAACAAATAAAAAAAATTGTGAAAAATATTATGTATTGAAGATCATGGAGATAGAATTTTTATTTAAATAGTCTAACTGGTATATTATTATTTCAACAAGAATAAATAGAGACAGAGAAACAAAAATAAATACTGTCCAATATCTCTTAGTGTTTGACTTAACAAGAGTGTCTGGACGTGTTGGGGGGACCAAGTTTGGAGCATTACCGTGGATTGAAATTGTGCTCTGCTAAGACTGGGATGAACATGCACAGAGACACCCTGGGCAGCTCTGCTCATGCCTTTGTCACCCAGCCTGACCCTCCCGTGCTCAAGTTGCAGAGAGGTCCATGTGTGTTCAGTGGTCCCAGCAGGACCAGAAGCATCAAGGGCCTCCTTGGCCATCCTTGGCGCCTGTGGCCATTCCTTCAGCTTCTGTCTCAGCTTCTTCATATGCCAGTATCAAGGAGGGAGATAAATTATGTCCTCTGGGCTTCACTTTCCTCCTGTGTCAACCCAACAGCTTGGGTGAGGATTGAGGGGAGTGCAGTACTCTGTAAAGGAGAAAGTACCATTAGGTACAGATGGGAGCTACGTGCTTCCACCTTGCCACTGTCCTCTTTTTACTTCTCCTTCTCTCTATCTCTTGCTCTCTCTCTCTGTCTCTATCAGTCACACACACACACACACACACACACACACAAGCATTTATACATATTCATGCACTCCTTCTGCTCTATGTATCCTCAGCTCTGTCGTTAGTGAACACAGGTTGCTCCCTCTTGGCTCCAAGAAGGACGTGCTATTATTTTTGCTTGCCAAACTCATCCTTCAAGTTCCACTGACACCTCCTTCATTTTATCTGTCTACTAACCACTTGAAGTGAATACTTTTTGTTGTTGCCATTTATAGGACAGAATAATTTTGCACTGTGATAAGATTATTCGTCTGGAATTTCAGAAACCCCCATATACCTGGAGAGACTGATTAAGGAGATCTCTGCAATAAAGTGCTGCCACAGGTTGGTCACGACGGGAAGCCCTTTCAATGTTTCAAAGCACTTTGAGCAATATTCATTTTATTATTTAAAATAAAATATTTTTAAAAATATTATTAAAATGTATTATTTATTATTAATGCCATCAAAACTCAAGGAGTCAAGTAGAATGGAATGCATTACTATAATCATTTTATAAACGAGGAATAGGAGGCCTAGATATATTGCAAAACACATGTAAGATTAATATCCAGTCAATGGCAGAACTGGGAATAGAATTCAGGACTGTCTGGGCCTCAGTCCTAAGCTCCCTGAAGTACACTTGTGTTTCCCTAATGCTGACTATTACGGCTCTATAAGGTAGGAGGTTGTGTCTATACTACTAGTTCTCAAACTGTAAGGTGTATCAGAGTCGCCAGCTGGTAGGCCCCATCTCAGGTTCTCTGATGAGTTTATGATTCTGCAGATTTGGGGTGGGCTTTGGTCATTTGCATTTCGAACAATTTTCCCAGGAAATGCTGATACCACTGATGACTTTGAGAACTACTCATCTCTATAAATCTTTGGAGTTGCTTAAAATAAACTATTGACCAGCCAATTCTACCAATTCCTTCTCCATAAATGACATTTGAAAAAAAATGCCACTATTCCCAATTGCAATGGTGCTATACTTTTCCTGGTCAAGTTTCCCAACTTACAAAATGCCTTCGGATATTGTGTTTAATGGAGTGTGTGGTGGGGAAGGAGTTGCCAAATGCACGGGTCTTTGGCCCTCATTAATATTTAGAGTTTCCTGAACCTTAAGAAAAGCGGGACTCAACAGCATGGTAGAGAGACGTGCTGAAACAAACAGAACCATTCAGGGCAACAGGAACGAGCTAACGTGTACGTTAAATGTTAACTCCCTTTAAAAATAAAATAACACAGAAAGTAATCTTCGCTGGGGAAATAGATCACACTAGATTAGGCAAATGTTGTTGTTTCAGGTGGCTAACCTTATTGCTCTAAACTCGAGCCTGGAGTTAAAAAACAAAACCACGAGCTGGAGGGTCAGTCTACAGTGCAGTAGTTTGAATCCAGTCCTATTAACAGTAACTTAATACTATGAATTCGGGAAGTTTGGACTTTGGCCCTCTTGCTCAGGAGACCTTAAAAGTAAAGATAGCTGCACAGTGAACATGAGCCACCCGCTTATTTTCCATTAGGTACCTGGTGAGAGATATTTATTTCGCCTGTTGTCTGCTGGATGATTTTTTCCAGGGTCAAAAGTACGATTGTGTACTGGGTACACAAGTGTGGAGTTAAGTATGGGGGGCCCTAGAACGGGAGCTTGAACAGATGCTCTTGGAACAGTTGTACATAATTCACTCCTCTTGGAATTTGGCTTCCCCAGTACAACCTCAGTCATGTGGAACATTAAGCCAGGGTGGATGGTTGTCAACTGCAGAGCTTATCCACTGCGCTGCTGAAAGGCCAGCAACGGGACGCTGTCACGGTGGACAGGTTGCTATGCTGAGAAAATTATGGCCACCACACACATTAAGCAAGAGATCTCAGCTCTGAAAAACCTGATAAAACCCTCAAGAGCGTGAACAGGGAATAGTTGTCTGGCGAGAGGGGAGAAAGGCACCACAATGATTCAGTTTGATGATCTAAACAAGGAACAGACACACCACCACAAAACCTGGTCATGATTGTCTCTCTCACAGACATCAACATCTAGCCATGCTGCACACTGTTCATTTCCCAAGGGTTTTACCCTTGGACACCTTCATTAAAACACTGAATTATGTTGCGCTCCTCCTGCCCTTTGCATTCCATGAATAAGCCATACCTCTGCTAGTTCCAGCCTGAAATTTATGGGGTACCTTCTATACACCAAGCATTAGATTAGTGAAATCCCACAATGTAAGGTCAATGTCAATACCTTTTTGAAAGACGTTATTCGAATCAATTTACAAATAAGAAAGACTAAATGATAGGTTTAGTAACTTACCCAAGGTGAAAGAGGTAGGAAGCATGAAAATCAGAATCAGAGTCGTAACTGGTTGCAAAATACCTTGGTTGATATTTTAGACATTGTTCTCTCTGCTTATGATGTTTTTCCAGTTGTCTGCCAAGGCAACATCATCTTTTTAGTCCTGGTCGCAGTCCAATGCTATCTCTTCTGTGTGGCTTTCCCGGAACCCTTCCTCTGACCAAGCACAGCTGCTTACGCTTCGTTCTTGCGTCTTCACAGCCTTTGTGTGCACATAGAGTATATATCACAATTATCTGCAATTATCTACATGTTTATCTTCCAGATTTCATATACCATGCATGCTTAAGGACACTTCGCCTCATTTATCTTTATGTATTAAATACCTGGTGCTCAATAAATATATGTTGAATTAAACTAAACTGTACCTCTAATTATAACACCTTTCAGAGTTGGCTTCTAGGTTGGGCACGGTGGCTCACACTTGTAATCCCAGCACTTTGGGAGACCGAGGAGGGCAGATCACTTGAGGTCAGGAGTTTGAGACCAGCCTGGCCAACGTAGTGAAACCCTGTCTCTATTAAAAGTATAAAAATTAGCTGAGTGTTGTGGTGGGCACCTATAATCCCAGCCACATCAGGAGGCTGAGGCAGGAGAATTGCTTGAAGCAGGGAAGCAGAGGTTGCAGTGAGCCGAGATTGTGCCACTGCACTCCAACCTAGGCGACAGAGTGAGACTCTGTCTCAAAAACAAAAAACAAATGAAAAACAGAGATGGCTTCTAATTATATTGCATAAGCAAAATTGCTCCTTAGGCTTAAGTCTAATTGCTTACTATCCACATAAGGCAGACCCAGAAGCAAATATCACATGGAACCCCTGTTGAGGACCTGTATCCCATTGTTTATGGCCCAAATGCAAAGCAAGAGGCCACAAATTAGGAAAGCTGAACAAGGATCAGTTTAAGTCCTGCTGGGCAGGAGTTGCCATTACAGAGACAACAGTTGGCATTGGTGATGCATGTGGAGATTCCAAGTGTTCTCACTGTGCACCCTGCAAGCCTTACCTTAGGATGCAGATTGTCATAGTTCTCTTTTAAAGATGAGAAAAGCGAAGTTCAACGATGAATAAATTATCCAATGTCATGTAGCAAATACGGTACAAGAATATGATTTTGAGCCAGGTTTTTACACATCCTAACACTTTTGTATAAGCCAATTCTATCTTGAAGAATTGAGATCAAAGACAATAGGTATGTTTCTAAAAAAATGGAAACTAAAAGCAACGAGAACAAAAACAAAAACAAAAACAAGACAGTGTGAATGCCTAGTGTACCTAGTGTTAGAAAGTGAGATTTAGCCAAGAATTGTGGAAACCCAAACATCCAGCTTCTTGTCTTGTCTCTCTGCCTGCTAGTAGTGTAACATTGGCCAAAACAATCACTTTCTAGAAGCCTCCATTTTCTTTTCGAACCTCTATTAAATAAAAATAATCATCTGAGGCCTTCTTTCCTTAAAGAAATACACGATATATGGAGCTGATCCATCTTAAACCTCCTTGTAAACTGCAAAACACTCTAAAAGCCAGAGTGGCAGTTACAGGTGTTTTTACCTCTTGAAGAATGATGAAATGGGTTGGGACAGTCATGGTTCAATCATTTAATTATAAATAAAAAAATTCCTGCACACGAGACTTGCTAAGGGAAATACTTTTATTTCTTTGCAGAGTCTCTTTTGTACCTTTAAATTTTATCAAATATGCAAAGGGCATGATTAGTATTTACAGGCTCCGTCTAAATTTGAGATGAGAAGGAAGTTATGAACATATTGGATGAAATTCAGACTACAAGTTCTGGAGGAAAGAGAAGCAGTCTGTTGGCAAAGTGTGTGCCTTGTTGGAATGTGATGTGGGTGGCCCAGTGATCCTAGGCGCTGTTTGCCCTCACATCTGTAGTCCTGAGCTGCCATTGCTCCTTCTTCCCATGTAGGAGAGATGTTCTGCTGATTTCTGGGACGGCTAGACCCATGTACACAACCTGTGGATTTCAGAAAACTGCGCACTCTGAGGTCAGGAAACATCCCTTTGCACACTTGGCCTCTGGACTTCCCTCCCGCTGGCTCCTGAGTTACCATCACAGAACTTTAGTCTCTTCAGATTACAGGCCACAGACATCCATCAAATATCATTGTCTGTTTGTTGCTTAAACAGGGGAGATTGGCCAGAAATTTTGTTTTGAAATCATCCTGGAAACTGTAAGCAAGTTATCTCAGAATGTAAGAGGGCATGAAAAGAAAAGCCATTTATGAAGGTTTAATGACACATTGCACTTTTGAAAAGAGAGGAAGAAATTTATGATGACCCTAAATGTAGAGTGTGGAATAGACAAATGGCTGAACTAGAAAATAGAGAAGGAGGATTAACTTAGGAGAGGTACTGGGAGAATTTAAAGAACGCAGCAATTTTAGTTATGTTGGGTTTGGGGAACTGTGGCACACACAGATATAAATGTCCATCAGGTGATTACATATAGACAGGTGTGGGGTTTTTATGCAGAAAGGTAGATTGGTAATTCTCTCTCTCACACACACATGCACACACACACACAGAGCAGATAATAACTTCTCAATGACAATTATTCATTCATCCACTAATTTGTCAATTAATAATTTCTTGGAGAATTCTCTTTTCCAGTCACAGTGCTGACTCCTAGGAATGTAGAAATTAATCAGACAGAGCCATCCCTGAGCTGGCAGTGTAGTAGACATTAACAGTTACAACTCCAACTAACACAGATACACATGGGGCATCAGAGAGCACAGAAGAGATGTGATGTGGAACTACTGTGTTTGCCTGAGATGACATTTGAGCTGAATATCAGAATGGGAAGAAATTCACTGGTGGATGTGGGTGGGAACAGTGTTGCAGGAAGAGGAACTGTCTGTGCAAAAGGATAAATTTTTTAAAAGCCTCTATGTTCGGACTGGCTTGTTGCCCTAAATAAAAATATCAGCAGAAGGAAAAGCAGCTCTCTCTAGCGTGAGTGACAACTTCCTTGGAGCAGAAGTAGACAAGGATCATTCTCTGCCTGAGTGTGGACAGTCCCCAAGGACTGCAATCCCCCCGAGCTCTGTCTTGCTCTGGTCGTCTCTCTCTCCTCAGGCTCCCCCAACAACTGATGTGATTCCCATTAAATGCAACGTTGGAGAATCTCACATGTACTAAACAGTTATCCAGGTGACCAAAATACGCATTTGGGGAACTTACACAGAGAGGAAGACAGAAAAGCAGAAGGCCTTCCCGTCCCAGGTGCCTTCTTGAAGCAGTGATGAAGTGCAGCTCTTTCTGGTTTGCAAATTCAGAATGTCTGTTAATCCTTAGCCTGGGGTTCTCTACCATGCCACAGTGGAAGGTTTGCTGAATCTGTGTTTAGTGTGTGGCAACACATGGCTCGGAATTTTAAAATATTTCAGTGCTGCAGTGATTGAGTAACCTAAAGTTGTTCCACATGGTTGATAAAAGTCTCATCAAGCAGAGAGGTCTGGGCTTTTTCTCGTACTCTAGATTCTTGTACTCTGCAGATTGCTTTTTCTGCTATAGCGCGCAATCAGCAACTTCAGAGTGTATCATCCATCCAAGGGAGGGAACACAGTATCTGATTTCACTCAGATCAAGTCCAGCGACTTGCCTTTTAAAACAAGAGATGGGCAGCTATTTCGAAACTTAAGTCCTCTTTTTAAACATCTTCATAAAAAGGAAACCAAGAAACTTTTTTTTCTCATGTTCATCGAAGCATTGTTTACAATAGTCAAGCTATGGAAACAACCGACGTGTCTGTTGACATCACGAATCTTACTTAGGGTTCTAAGAGGATCTGGCAATTATACTCAGATTTCATTTTAATTTAAAGAAAATGAATAGAAACAGTTGCAAACGCCACTTGCTGTTATTGTTTTAAGTGTACGTTTACGAAACACTGTCTATTAAATAGACATAATTTGCCTTTATAAAAAAGATAATAAATAAATTAATGGACAGGAAACATACAAACTTGATCACAATATTGGAGAAAGAGATCACTCTGCTTTTTGAAAGGGTTTCTTTTTTGTCACAATCCGCCTATTCTCATATGAGAAAGTGTCACTGTTGTATAAATAGGTCCTTGGTTATGAAGAAAAGAGGCCATCTCAGATTACCCACAGAATGAATCTTAGATTGCCCACAGAATGAAGAGTTGGAGGGAAACTCAGTGACCTGTCCCTCTTTTACAGATCCTATGCAGCGGTGCAATGAAAAGAAAATGAAATTGAAAAGCAGAATCTATCACTGAACAATTGGGGTGATTTTATTTCAACACATCTGGAATAGGTATTTAAAAGAGTCAAGAAAAAATATAGTTGAAGAGGTGAAAGTGGGGCAAAGGCGATGATTACTAAAGGTTGTAGATGGTGGTATAAATGACATAAATTTTGAAATTAAGCCATGTTGGATTTGACTTTCAGCTCTGTCATTGATTAGCTATTTAACACTGGCAAGGTTTATTTTTTGTTTTCTTGATTCCTTGCAGCACAATTTCCCCAGTTGGAACTTGTGGGATTTTTTATAAGCATTAAATGAGTGACTATATGCAATCAGTATGATGATTAGCTGATAGTTGGCACTTTGGAGTTGGAGAAACCAATAGCTAACCATCTCTTTGTCAAGGTTCAGAACTGACAGAGAGATAGTCATATGACCCAGAGAGATGAAATTCAAAATATAGTGAGAAAGGCCAAGTTAAAAGATATGACTTAGTTTTGTGGCCACAGTCTGCTTCCCATACTGATCCCTGAAATTAGACAGACACACTCACCTGGTCACTGTCAGTACTGGCCTCCTTGAGCAAGAACACAGCATATCTCTAAAAGTCTATCCTCTCTGCAGGCAGGCAGACCCAAAAAGAAAGAAGAGGTGGGGCTCTTCACTCTGCCTAGAATCACCTGTAAGATGCCTCCTGTGAGATGCCTGCTGGTGCTGGGCGCTATGGGGGAGAGAGTAGGGCCAGTAGAGGAGGAAATAGTGGGACTTCATCCCTACCTTAGGAGATTTTACACCTGGAAAGGGGAGCATCTGCTGTGAGAATCCAGTGAATAATTAATATGGAAGATGCTATTACATTTTAACAAGGTACTATCAAATGCTCCATAATATATAGACTAGAATTGTTAAATAAAAGTTAATCTTGTATGCAAAAAGACCTTCTGACTTAACTTTCCCAAACCCCAGAAGCAGGGAAGATGGGAAGGTGTTGACACGACTGTGTGTCCCCTCCCTTCTTCAGAGCAGCCTTTCTTTTCTCTCCAGCTTGCACTTACACATTGCCTATTGCTTGCACATAATATGTTTTAGGTTTTTCTTATTGCAAAGGGTATAAGTTGAAGATTTTTTTAAAAAAATATCAGGTAAAAAGGAAAGATTTTGAAAATTTGCCTTGGACTCGAATTGTGCTTTAATTTACTTTGACAATAACCCTTTCTTCTTATACTGTCTCCATGTGAAACTATTCAGCAACTTCCCTCTCAGAGTTTAACCAATTGATAGCTAATTTTTTATGTCACCAAGGATGCTAACATTTTAATATATTTAAAAAATATCACATAGAGAAAACTATTTTAAGACGCAGTGGTACATGGTTTCAATAAGGTGGTGGTTAGTGATAGGTAGCAATAGATAGATAGAGAGAACTATTTTAAGATGCAATGGTACATAGTTTCAAGAAGGTGGTGGTGGTGATAGGTAGCAATAGATAGCAAGATTAGTATTTTTGGTTGGAAAATCCTAATGCACTTGACCAAAAGATGGTCTTACTCTCCCTTTCCCTGAGTCTTGGTCAGTCCAGTAAGCAAAATAATGGAAAAAAAAATGCTTGCTACTATTTTAACTATTGCTCTTAAAATGTACAGTTGTGTAAACAAAGCAAAAAATTACAGAGAGGAGATACGGTGAAAATAAGCATAGGGTTATTTTTAGCTAATGTGCGGATATTAAAGACAATAGAATGCAACTTTGTGTGTGTGTGTTTTTCAGAATATGAGGTCAAACTGCCCAATTGGGAGACCAATCTTATGGATGAACATGCTGCCATAGCTCAATACCATGTCTTTGACACATGCTCGCTAAGCACATAGAGCCAGTTTGAGACTACTGCTCTCCTGTACTGTAACAAGGATGAGAATTTTTGAGTGATTGTTCATAGCTTCATCCTTCCATTTCTGGAGACTTATCGTTGTGTTATAATTGTGCATGTGAAAGTATTTTGGTTAGGATTATAGTAATAAAAAATAACTTCAAGCAAAAGTAAAACAAGTTAATATTTTATAGATTCTGAGTATAAGATAATCTTAGAGTTGATCAGCTTCACCATGGTCATGAGCATGAGGCACGCACCGTGTGTGCTGACATGATGTGACAACCAGTGGCAAAGCCTCTGTCTTAGCAACCACACACCTAAGTTTGATTTCTGTCTCCATCAATGACTGCGATGACTTTGGCAAGTTACTTTACTTTTCTGCTATTCAGTTTTTTTTGTCTATCAAATGGCAGCAATAAAACCTAAGGAAAAAACATGAAATACTGACTGAGGGCTATAGCAATGGATGAGAATTGCTGAGAACAGCACCTATTTACAGCAGAACAAACAACAAATGTCCATTTCTTCCATTTATACAGACACAATATAGATGTGAAGAAATGCACACTTGTGAGTGTGTGTGTGTATAGATCTCTCTAAAAGAAAAATAAACAAAAACTTTTCTAACTGAAAGACCAAATCACAGCTGAATGGCACTGTCCAAAAATCTCTGATTCATCAGTTAGCTTTGAATATTATTTTCTCAAGGAACAAAGCCCATTGTGGAATATGATTAATACTCAAGCGAAAAGCACTGAAAAAGAGAAAATGAGAAGATGGAGAAGCTCATGGTTTTATCTAAGGCACCAGGTTTACTTTATGTTCAAAACAAACAAACAAAAAAAGTGAAAAGCCCATAAAATATGCAACCAATATCTCTTGAAAGCACATGAGGTTTTGAAAGAAGACATGTTAATTCATTCTCTAGCTTCATAGAATCCTCTATCTAAGGTAATAAAACTCAGCACATTTTTAGAAGAGAAGGGGGGAAAAAAACCCTCTCAGTATTGTAGGTGTATGTATAATTCCTTAAAACCTGCCAGTACCTTGTCACTGCGGAAATGGAAAAAAAAAAAAAAATGCCACCACTAGCAATAAGAAGTGTGCTAATGTAAAAGTGTGTTGCTTGGCAACAGATTAACTTATTTAAACTTTCATCACTGCTTTGAAGAAGATGCTCTAAAGAGAAAGACAAAGACCACAGTAAAATGCTTGGGATCCGTGATTTCAGGAGGTCTCCAAAGGACAAGACACTCCTGCCTGGAGCTAAAACCAGGCGTTTGCAAACTATGTTTCCAGAGAGCCTCGGTCAGCAGGATTCCCACTAGATTCAGCCAATAGGAGGCACTGGCTGAAGATTACAAGGCTGGGGAAAGAAGTTGGGGGTTTGTGCCTCTGATTGTGTAGAAGTTACTGGGTACAGCTGACAGTGAACATAGGGAATGGCAGGCTCCAGTAACCCCAGGGGAAGTAGCACCTGCTTAGCAGTTCCAGCTCTGGCCCAAGCAATGCCCCTTTAGTAGAGTCAGGATCCAGGATTGGATGTGGTAGCGTCTCCAACAGCCCAGGGCAGGAGTAGACTGCAGCTGCCGGCGCTAGGGTGTTAGCCTAAGCTGGTGGGTGGATCGGACCTTTCTTCCTTTCTGTTCCTCCACTTCTTTATTTTCTCTTCTATATATTTTTTTCTGGCTTTATACCACCTTGTCTGTATTAAATTCCCTCCATGAAACACCTAAAGTGGTTTCTGACTGGACACAGACTGATAGAAGTTTAGAGTTTTCCTCAATAGACTCAGATTATGGAGCAACGTGATATGGGCGGCAACGGAAATCAGTATTATGTACCGAGCTAGGAAAGTAATTGTGATGAGCTTTTAAAACCTCTCTATAGATACAGAAAGATATAGTTATTGAGATGATACAGATATAAAGATGATCTAGATACATAAATGTAGATATAGATAGGTTATGTAAATGATATAAATATAGATACAGATGCAGACATACACATCCTTTTGATCCTGTTTCTCTGAAAAACACTGCCTAACACAGGCATGGAGGGGGTGATGACCAGAAAGTGAGGCTGTGAGTTGGTGGCCAAGGTCAGATAATGAAGATCTCCTGGTATCAGCTGAAGGCCTTGGGACTTTATCCTGAGGTTCATCAGAACCACTGATAGTCTTCAGGAAGAGGAGCAAAATGGTCATATTTATTTTCTGGGAAGCCACCTGCTTGTAGGCATGTAAGGGATGAATCTCCAG